AGAGAGAGAGAGAGAGAGAGAGAGAGAGAGAGAGAGAATGGCACAAAAGGTCATAGATTGTCACAGGAAGATGACTTTTTCCAAAATAGAATATTCTAAATGAAGTGATTTATATTCTTAGTCCTTAAAACAGAGGTTACCTTAAGCTGGGCCTTGGTGAGTTTGTGGGACCTTGATAAAATCAGCGTGCTCTTCATAATAGCACCTGTCTGTAAAGGAAAACCACAGCATCCTCTTCTCATGACAAATGTGAAACTTGTAATCTATTATCCAAACTGACTAATTACCTTTTGCTTCATGTTACACAAGTATCTAGTTGATTTATACTCTGTAGTGATTGATTTTGTCAACTGTATAACTTCACAGTTACTAACTGTGCTCAAGAATTTAATTAAAATATAATAGACTAAGGAGAAGCAGAATTTTGATTTATTTTATTTAAATAGAAGTTTATTAACACTCATCCTCTAGATGCATTTACATAATTAAAGCAGCTCAATCTTACTATTTGATAATGAAGCACCACAATAGAGAGCCATGGCTGCTAATTCTTACCTCATTTCATTCTTCTATTTAAGAAGAATGGTCAATGTAGTCATATCACTGGAAGTCCCTGGTTCTGAAGATAAATTAGATTTCTCCTCATTCAATCTTAAATGAGCTTTGCTAATTCTCTGGTCCAGAAATGTTTCCAGAAATCTCTTGGCACACTGTATTAGGAAAGAAGAGAACATTCTGTACCTATTTTTCATTGTTGTTCAAGGATGTCCTTTCACTTAAATCTGATAGTGTCTGATTTTATATATAAGTGGCCAGAATTTTTAAATATTCTTGAAAATAAAATACAAAATGAAATTATTATTTCCTATTGCATAATTTTTCTAATATATTAAATGCCTTAAAATAATCATATTTTGATCCAGCACTCTCATATTAAATGTATTCTATTCTGGGAAGGGGAAAGAAATGATAAACAATCATGATTAATGATGTGACCAAATATTAAAAATTATGCTACATTTGTCCTGCTAAATATCACACAGCTATTAAAAGTAATAAAGTAAAAATCATCATAAATCAAATAAGTTATAAAGAGAACATTTACAATAAATAATGACTTTATTATTATTGCCTCTGACAGAAACACTATTATGATATGGGATAGATATTTTTCTAAACTTGTTTTATATGTTATCACATTAACATTCACAATAGTCATAATGTCGAAGTGGGGGCTATTATTATCTTCAATTTTCCGATGAAGTAACTAAAGTAGAAAAGTGATAACTAATTGACTCAAAAGACAGAGATGTAGTTAAAGGAAACTCTCAGGACTTCTACCCAGGAAGGCTCATCTCAAATCCTGAGTTTTTAAGGCCTGTGTATGTTTTGGTGGTAGTGATGTGGTGCTGGTGGTGGTGGTGGTGCATTAGTGTATGCGTGTATTTTGCTATAGAAAATCAGTATATAGGTAATCAAGATGATAAATTAGAATTTTTTAACTGATACTCTAAGGTACAGAGTGGCATGTCAAAATCTGCTACCAAACATCAATATTTCAAATAAAATAACTAAAAATAGATAGAAGTATTGCTAAGTCCCTCACTCATACCTGGGATATAAAAGGTCTTGGAATTGAAGGGCAGAGGTTTTATGGAGAGATGTATAGAAGCTTCCACTGCGCCACTGGGGATAGGGGCTTCAGTGGAACACTTGATGGGTTTAACACCTATTCCCTGCAGTGTGGAATACAGGGTAGACTGATGGATAAATCTACTTGAAAAATCTAAAGGTAAGAGATTAGCTTGCTAAGGTGCTAATAAATGAGCATAAACATGTATCAGTGTTGGGTTGGCCTGTGTCCCTGAGTTGGCAATAGAAAAATATCCATGTATTTCTAGTAGGTCAGATGGAGCCCCATGACAGAACCAGTGTCCTCTACTTTCATTCTTGCCACTTGGATTGTTGATGCATAAGTCAGCCACAGGGCACATTAGAATTGCATTTGTTCCCATCAAGGAAACTACAGTAGAGGCTGCTTCAATTAATTCACAATGTATCCACAAGCCCCCAAAGCAGTTTTAAAATATCTGTGAACCCCAGAGAGCCTGTAGCTCTCTTAGGACACGAACAGTACAGTCAGAAAAAAATCATACCCAATGAAGCTTTTAATATTTCCCACCTCATATACTAACTATATTCCTGTCCCTCCAACACTAGAGGGAATTTTAAAATGATGAAATTTTAAATGAAGGGTACAGATTTGAGTCATTCTAATTACTTAAGACTGGTAACTCAAATTGATTATAGGTCTTTTATTGCCAATAATCATAAAAATAATGGGAAGGTCCAAGTTGTCTTCTAGGATTTAAGAGAAAAAATATGTTCCTGTTTGAATATTTTTAGAGGGTACAGTGTTAAACAAAGTGTCATTGCTTTGGATATAGACATATTACACAAAGCCCTGCTTGTTCAACCTATCATTACTATAATGTGTATGTTAGGGGATAATTATATAATTGGGTAGGTAGAATTATGAATGAGTTGACTTCTTTTTATTTTTCTGCATTTATATTATTCTAAATGATTGTGTATATATTTTGTAAGCAGAAAGCATGCCTTTAAAATTTCAAGTTAACAAATTTTTAAAAAATCAAATTAAAATAAGACCTTAAAAAGTTTTTTTTTCCTAATAGTGCTTATAGGCCAATTATTCAAAATCCTAACACCAACTATATAATGGATTAAAATAAAGCAACTTTCTTTGTGTTAGTTTCAGAGGATACTTGTAATATAAAACCCTTTGATTAGTTATGAAGTAGTATTTTATATGGAATAGGAAACAAAAGAACCTGGTAATATTTTCCTGATAGACCTATGAATAAGTTTAACAAAGCATTGTGTGCAGAATCTCCTTCCAGACAGAGCCTTGCTAAACACTCTTCATTATCTTCTTGACAGAGGGACAGGGCTTTGGGGTTGTATGTACATTAGTACTGAATCTATTAATACACATTCACATGGTAAAGAAAAAAGAAGCTTGGGTCCGACAGGATTCTAGAGCAAAATTTCTGCTGAGCTTGCCTCACCTGTCCATCAAGTATATTCTGGGTCTGAAATTCAAAGGTGAGGTCATACAATTGACATTAAAAAGGCATAGAACTAAGTGACTTCTTTGTGAATCACAATTGTTAATTATGATTCTAAATGAACATTTGGTATGAGAAAGTGCAGCTGAATGGGTAAAGAGAAAAGTTAATCTTATTTTAGCTGAGCAGTAGTTACTAAATCACAGTTCAAAAAGGAATTTGGAAGGGAATCTGTGTATCTAAGATAGGGAGGGCAAAGAGGAAGCATAACTGGTACATTAAATTATCTTCTAAAATGAATAGAAAATAACCTAGAGCTGAGAAGGAGATCTTTTTAGTTTTATCATGAATTCCAAATGTTAATTTAATTTCATTGAAGTGATTGGTGAGAAAATACCCCCACTGTGTGCCAGGAAAGGTGGAACACAGTGGCATTTAGATATATGCTTTGATATCCACATATATTGCTGTAGAAAAGTCAAATGAGTTCTCTGGAGCTCTGTGCTAGTTTGCTGTAGCTTAAACTATAGAGGACAGGCTTTGGGTTCATTTTAGGTTTATATTTATAGTAGTTTATTTTAAGGGTAAGTACTTTTGTTTTTTTAAACTTTAGGGCAAAATGGTCTTTTATTTGTCATAATGGACTCAAATTTCTCTCACTGACATTATGAAACATAGTAATGTGGACCCTGAGACCTTCATAAATTCTCAAATTTCTAGAAAGAACTCTCCCACGAAATTTATTTTTATAAAATGCAATAAAATTTGACATTCTTCTTGTGACCATTTTTATAAAAACAATAAGAAAAATATTGTAAACTCTATGACAACTAGAAATACATTACATCTTACTGAAAAGTGAAGTCTACACCATTCTCTAATTTCTACCACACATTAGTGCCATGTCTTGGAGTCAATTTTGTATGTAGTAAAATCACAAATGAATGTATCTTAATCAGGCCATTTGTGCATTGTAAAATTACACAAAACTCCACAAATGCTTTTACTATTTTATATATGGAATAATGCACACCACATTCCTAGTGCTGTCATATCATAAGATATAAAAGATTGGTTAATTTTTTCATTATTTTAATGCACACTTGTAACCCTATGAGATTTTTTTGATGATACAGGAATCAAGGAGATATTTTTAGTTTCTTGAGAACAAAGTATTTTCTATCTATTTATCAGGTAATGTTTTTATCTAATCATAAATAGGAACAATGAAAGAGAAATGCCTTTTAGATCTGTGCCTATGTTGTTCTAAATATTTGGGCACTGTATGACTTATCACAGGTAAGCCCAGAAATCATGTTTAGATGGGAAAGCCTTTGAGAAGAGTCTGGGGAAAAAGAAAAGTGGAAAACAAACAATTTCTATGTATTTATCCTGTTAAATATGTAGATTAGTTACTATAAATTAGGAAGGAGTTGTATTATTTAAAGAAAAGACAACTTCATATTATTTGAATTTTAAAATTAACCCAAAAAATGATTAAAGTTTGAAACATGAGCTGATGGTTGAGAAAATATATATAAATATTGATTACATATACTGAATATACAAAGGTTGGACAACTGGAAAATTTTTTAAAAATCCAATAGTTCTGATAAAGTTAGTAGTGAGTAGAGTGCCATTTAAAATTAATTTTCATGAAACATTTCCATACTTGTCAAATT